CAAAGGAAGGAGAAATACTTAACATAAAATAATCAAAAATTCAAAATGTTGGCACAACAAAATTGCACAAAACTACATTTTTAATAAATATATTTTAGATCAGTGGCGCACACAAGGGGGGGGGGGGGGTTGGGGGGGGGCGCCCCCCCCAAAGCCCTTGATTTTTTTCCAATTGGTTATAATTCTAAGTATATAATACGTAAAATTTAATTAAATATTTGTTATTAATGATTAATTTTATTAATGCTAATTATTTATTCAATAATTAGTTTTTACTGTGTTTTGTTCCTGAAAATCGACAAAATCAAAAATAGCATGATACAAGAATGGTGAACTTTCAACCCCGGACCCCCCTCCCCTTTGAAAAATTCCTGTGTGCACTATTGTTTTAGATAATACACATTATCTATATTCTCAACAGATACTTTTTTTCTGAAATGTGAAAAGAACAAGAAAAGAAAAAATTTATGTTTGTTGAAAATTCAGGCTGAAGTTCAATGTGAGAGAAAGTTATTAAAAATACAGCATAATGTCTACCTTATCAGAGCCAGATGCACGTCCACTATCCACACTGGACATGCTGTGCCTAGATGAAGTGCCACTAGCACTACTGCCACCTGGACTTGGACAGACATCAATGCCTTGGTCTTCCAGCATAGCATGGCAAACTAAAATGAAAGGGTTTACTATAATTAAATGTTACAACTTATTTTTAATATAAATGATGTAACAAAATGCATTGATGTATTATAATAATACCCTGAAAAATTAATTTCTAAAAAAAATGTATTTAAATTAAATCATTTATTAAAATTACTAGTGAAAGCAAATCTTCATTATGAATATATATTCACACATTGCACAAATACATATTTTTTTAATTACAATGCCTAATTGTATTGCAGATTAAGTATGTAGAATTAATATATTTTACAATGAGGAAGAAATGAGAATGGCATTCATTACAAATTAATAAATGATAACCAAATATTTTATGTTAGTATAGGTGGTGTACACAAGAGTGGAGACCAGCGGTGCACACAAGGGGGCGGCCCCCCCCTCGGGGCCCGGATACCCCCATAGCCCTTTATTTTTTTTATTGGTTATAATTCTATGTTTATATTACATAAAATTTAATTATGTATTTGTTATTAATAGTTAATTTTATCAATTAATGCTAATTATTTATTCAATAATTAATTCTGTATTGTTTTTGTTCCCCAAAATTGACAAAATCAAAATAATATGTTGGGCGGCGTATTGGAGCATGATACCAAAAATGGTGGAATTTCAACCCTGGTCACCCCCATTGAAAAATTTTTGTGTGCACTACTGGTGGAGACCAACCAACCATAGACCAACAGATTTTTAATTTTTAGCTTGAAGATTACATCTCAGTGCTTTTGTTTATGTCTTTTTAAAATATAGCTTCTGGG